AAAATGGGGATTATGGTGGGAAACATTGTGTTGTATTGTTTCCCAGACCAATGCAAAAAAGAATTTAAAAGAGGTCTGATATCGTCGGAGTACTTAAATATGTCTGAACCGCATGGAGTTCTAGAATCGATAGGGTAGATTGCCTCCATGTATTCAGCAGGCGTAGTGATCCCATGATATGTTGCAAGTTCTTGATCTCAGTCAAGCCGGTGATTTGCAGCCCCGTAGCTCGAAACACTTGTAGCTTGTCCAAAACCGTAGGAATAATGTATTTCTGCTACTGCGACAACATTCTGTAGATCAGCATAGATCGAATCTTTAACCGTTTAATGCGAAGAAAACCAATTTCTGCATTGAATGGAGCGGAAAATGAATTTCCGTTCGACAAGTACGAAGTAATATAAATAACTTTAGACAGTCATTCAGGTTAACGCCTGCAGTTCTAATTGGTTTGAATTTAGCAGTAGACTGAGACAGTCATTTATGCTTCTATGACAGAATTCGATTTGAACAAATATATCTTAATTACTTAAAGCCGGTAAGAATGGACAATGTTTTTAAAGGGAGTCATTGTGCTGTAAACTGCAGGCTAACATGTTTTTATACCGATTTTAACAACTCAAGATTTTTTTAAATATACAGCAACAGTAGTTCGGGAGTACTAACGCAATAACGCACTGTCCCATTTCACAGCTGTCTAACCTCACATACCTGATACTGTAAGTGATGGCGTCTGATGACCGTCACTTTAATATGAGCTTTCTAATATGTAATATGAATAACCTATTACTGTATTACAGAGATAGGCAAGAAATGTAACTTAGTCCGTGCGAATTAGATAAAAGTTGTTGACAGGTAATATATGGTTTAGCACTGACGGCATGAAACAGCGTGAAAATCATTAACTGAAAGATGCATTGTCTGTACGACACGTCTTATTTAACCGAGCGCTAGATGCACGTTAGTCAATGTATATGCATTCAACTAGGCGAAGACCCTTGTACTGAATAGGCACAAATGTTGCCAGAGGATAATGTTGGGCGTATATAACTGATGGTTCATTTTAGAGACAGACATCTTTTGCATTACCAGTCGTCAATACCCACGAAATGAAGTCATACAGATTTAAGTCCTTCAGATTTAAAGAAAATTATCTCTACTTTGTTTTATCAGTTCCGTAATACGCAGAGTTCCAAACACTACTTAAGGAAAATATACATTATCTATTATTAGTCATCTCTGCTTTACAAAAATTGCTGAGTGCTTTCCTAGTAAGGTGATTTTGAAAATGTATTTATGAATGTAAAGGCATTCGTCTAGACAAAAGATGCAACAAACAAACAACGCAACATGTTGTCCGCCTTTATTATCTTCGTCACTGTACATGAATCATTTAAAACCGTGTACAAAAATGTCTGCACATAAAAGGCCCGCAAGGGGCACATTTTTGCCATCTTGCCACTCTTAGCGGCTGGATCGTTTCCGATTTTTATGTACATTGACCGTTTCATATAGCCTCAAAGAGGATTTTCGGCTGCCCAATAAGCGACGGGCATCATCATCATCATCATCATTATTATCATCATCATCCTTGTCAGTATATTTATTATTATTATTATGATTTTCGTTCGATTCCAAAGTGCGTTCAAGTCAGCCACTAGCAGCACTCAAGCCGGGATCGTATAACAAGTTGGCGATGATCCAAACTTTAATATGGCCTATCCTGGTCTACCTTTTGGATGGTACTTTCAGACTGCGTGTATGTAAGCATATTCGTCGTAGGTGGATCCGACTACCAAAAACACAAAAATCTTCGAGGAAAAATTCTGTCAGTCGAATACGTGAACTTGCAGGCACAGACCATTGCTCTGAGGTGGTGCTAGTGGTTTCCACTGGGGTGTTTTGGAAGAGTCCACAACCGAAGCTGATTAGAGTAAAATAATAATGCTTCGTGCAGTTTATTTGTTATGCAAAATTAATCTAATACAACTGTTAGCTCGGCAAAGCTTGTGACGTGATGTTAACTGGAGAGCAATGACCACCAAATGCAGTGTGCAATATGTTTTTGATGATTGCGCAGTAAGCTTTCTTACAGGTACGGAAGTGCATGTGGCCGACTCGCAGCGTGATGCCAACACTCAGACGTGCTTATCAAAAAATAAAACCCACCGACAGTCATGTCTGCCAAGCGTCTACTGTCTCCACCGTCTGCATACATTCGCGTACGCATGCCCACAAGGCTCTGGTCTTCAGCCATAGACGAACTCGACCTGTACACGCCTATCTGCTAGGCATTTGGCTGGTTCTCCCAAACACCTAATATCGCATGCTTTGCCCAGCGAACAGTTTTATTAAATTTACTCCAGGTTTCTTCTGTGAGATAAACAAACGTCACGTTGCTACATTCTCCTTACGATAGACTCCCTGCTCGAACAGTAGTCGGTATACACATCTGAAACAGAGGCACTATATTTAGAGTGTTCGATTTAAATTAAACGCAGAATAGAAAACTGTACAAACACGCCTGTTTTAGGCTAATGAGCTCAGGGAGGGTCATTTTTCCATAGAGTAATTTATTATCATATGCCATTACGCTCATGTCACCATCTGTGATGTTAGTTGATTGTGGACCGCCAATTGTTAGCATGCTTGTCGTATGCGAAGCCGGCTACCAGCAAAGTAAACAATCTTCGTCCTCATCTGCCTCAATCGCTTTCCATTTCGTGTGACGTTTGACGCGTTTTGTTAATTTAACTTTTCCGCTTTAATCATCCGGTTGGGCATGCGGTTAGAAATATGTGATAGGTGTCTAGTCAAATAACAGTACTTTTAAGAATACTGCCGTGTTTTCGGAAGTTATTGACTAATGAGCATTTTATCGTGCTGACAAGAAATTCTACGCGGCCTTTCAGGAACGGGCGAATATTGAAGCGCATCTAGGCTCAGACTGGAACACCCATGATCTATGCGCGGCAAATGTTCAAATCGAAATCGCTCGGATCTCGGGCATTTATAAACTGTCCAAGTCTCTTCATCGTAACGGTTCCCTTTGCTAGGCATAATCATGGGGTTCAAATGAATCACAATTGAAAAGGGCTGCTGATTTCCTAATTATGGGCTTATTTGTTCCATACGCTTGCGACTAGTGAAACGTGTATTCGAAGTTCAGAGGCTTGAATCATGTATGTAGAAGACCACAGAATTGCATTATTTTATAATTGTACTTGTGACATACATGTAAAGTAGGTCCTAAATAAACGCAGCAGAGGTGTCCGCCTGTTTCTTAAAGCAAGCTTGTGTCTTAAAGGCCAAAACATATATTATTAATTACTATTAGGGAGTAAAGCAATCGGTTGCCGATCTCGATCACAGTGTCGCGGCTCTGTTTCCATTTCTTCTGCAGAAAATGCCATTGTGGGTTGAGGTAGTAAAGAAAAGAAGCAGACGTTTTGAATGAATTTGGGGGACGGTAGCGTGCAGTACCCCAAGTGGCTGGCAACTCCATCATGTGCACTAAAATTCAGTATAATTACAATTGCCACTTATTATTTACAGTTCCCCCTGGTTCGAAGTTTCTAGGCTAGCTGGCTGAATAAGGCCGCCGTTCACCCACATTCTGTTGTTTTTGGTGATTTGTTTGCATATTTTTTACTTATTGCTCTCGTCAGAAATTTAAATATTTGCTTGAATTAAATTTGCTCTCCTTCCTACGTTTTGGCCACTATTAAAATTGCCTTTATCACTATTCATGTATGGCAGGCACCATAGGCTATCTCAAGTCAGTTGGTGTCCTAGAACCTAATGTTGCCAAACCCTCGGAGGAGTGCCTCTACTCATCAATATCCTACCAAATAGTACAATCCCGACGAGATGACGTGAAATTTACTTCATAAACAACAATATCGCAAGAAATCCCGACATGAGCTATTGAGGGACTTTTTTTGGCAACCAAAAATTGTAATAAAATTGAGTAAAATGAGACATTTTTTGAAGTACTATCTCAAGCAGAAATCAAAGGAGAGCACAATGGATTGAAGTGGAGTATTGTAAAAAGTGTTAAGCCCAAACACCGTGACCTTAAACGACAATGTTCCTGGGGTGCCACATTTTGAGTCTGACTTTAATCAAACACATTTTTTGATCTGCAGATGTTTCATAGAGCTGAACAGACAGTCGTGGGAGCAATGAATCCCATCGAAAGCAGAAAACAGCGGCAAAACATATCTCTTGAATATTTTTTTTATTCCAAAAACGAATACAAAATTAACTTCAACTAACCGTTGACTCGTCTGAGCTTGCGACTTCATGCTAACTGGAGATCAGGGATCGCCTATTCAAGTGTAAATTGACAGCAAAGTAGAAGTTCCCATCTGCGTGTTTCCGATTAGTACGATACATTGGCAGGCGACAGAACATGACGTAAAATGAAGCGTCCACGTATTCACGGAAAGCAGTGCGCAATGTCCAACAAGTGTGTTTATTGATGACTGCTCAGTAAGCTTCTTGTCTACTGAATAAATGCAGGTCTGCCCGTTGACGACGTGATGTCGTTACTATGGCCAATATTTTTCTTATGCATAAGGTACCACTTAAAAGGACTCCGTGGTAAGAGATATGTTTCTATCCCACACCCCAGCCGCTGTCCGAGCCGGTCAGCAGACTGGAGTGGGAAATGGGCGCGGTGGCTGACACGGTCGACTGACCATGTCTGCGCGCGCCACGAGCACAACCTGGCCCCCCACACACACAAACAGCAGGATTTCACACAACGGGAGTTGAGAGGCTTGTCTCTCACTTGCGTGAGAGGGCCGTGGAAGGTGCTGTTTCAGCCCGTCCCCAGCCCATCAGTCCGCCATTCCACACAACACACACACAACGGGACGGACTGCGTGAGCCGAGAGCGGACGTCAATCAGCAGCCTTCCTGTCCACGATGCTTGACGTGTCGGGATAGTCTCGGGCTCAAGTCACCCGTGCAGCCGAAGCTGCATGGAGACCGAGTCAAGATGTACCCTTCCCACTTTCGTGGAAGGTGACAGTTGGGTGCTTGCGATGGGTGAGTTTTGATGTGTGGTGGGGTGATGATGGAGGAAGGTAGGGAGTGTGTGGATGTGTGGTGTAACCGGCGGTTGAGTACCGCAGGTTGTCGTGGATGCGCATGTGACCGAATAGGCCCATGCGATGTCTGAAAGTGCGAGGACAGTGTGGGCAGTTAAGTCGAGATTGGCGTGTATAGGTTGGTGCTCCAGGCACTGGTTCGCCAGTCTCTGTGCGATGGATTCTCAAGTGACCGACCAGGACAATGCGTGAGGTGAACGTGCGTGGGCAGTGTGGGAGCGAGAATTTGGCGGTGTCGGTGTCAGCTGCAGAGGAAGCGGTGGTGGCGGTGATGGTGACGGGCGCGCTTTGGGATGGAGGGAGTGTGGTTCTGGGCATGGTGGGCGTGTTGGACGTGGTTGGTGTATCGGAATTGTGGTCAATTTCGCTCTCGTGGATGCGCATGTGGCCGAAAAGACCCATGCGATGGCTGAAAGTGCGAGGAAAGGTTGGACAGTGGAGGGGAGTGCGGTGGGTGTAGGTTGGTGCTCCAGGCACTGGTTCTCCAGTCTCTGTGCGATGGATTCGCAAGTGACCGACCAGGCCGATGTGTGGGGTGAAGGTGCGGTCGCAGTGAGGGCAGGTGTAGTCCTGATCCTCATCGCTGGAATCGGGGGAGGTGGTAATGGTGGTGGCGTCGGTTGCTGCGCGCGTGGCAGTCGCCTGAGCGGCCGTCGTTGGAGCGGTGGACGAGGAGGAGGAGGGGGTTGAGGAGGAGGAGGAGGAGGATGTTAGTGTTGGCTCAGAAGAATTGTCAGAGTTAGTTGATGGCGGAGGGGAAGGGGAATAGGCGGGCGGTGGGACGATAGTTGGTGCAGTTCGAGAGGCACAGTTGATCCGAAGATGTCCAACAAGTCCGATGCGAGCCCGGAATGTCCGTGAACATCGAGGACACGTTGGGAGCGGTTGTGCGGCGGCGTTGCGTACTGGTCGAAGTTGTGACTTGCGGGCTTCGCGTTTCCCTTTGGCGGCAGCGATGCGATTGGCTTCGTAGATCGCAGCGCCTGTCTTCACTGTCCTCCTTCAGGTCGGCCGATCGAGTGCAAGCTCTTCCCAGTTGGTCGGGTTGATTTGCAGACGCTTCAGGGAGGACTTCAGAGTATCCTTGTTACGGCCAATTTGGCCTCCTTGATGGCAAGAACCCGTCGCGACGTCTCCGTAGAAGAGTCGTTTGGGTAGTCGCTTGTCATCCATGCGCACCAGGTGACCCCTCCTGCGCAGCTGGATTTGTCTTAGCATGGTGTATATGCTGACGATGTCCGTCCGTTCCAGTACATCAGGGTCGGGGATTCGATCCTGCCAGTTCAGCCTCAGGATGCAACGAAGACAACTGAGGTGGAAGTGGCTTAGGCGGCGTGCCTGCTTTGTGTACACCGTCCAAGTCTCCGCTCCGTACAGTAGCGTCGGCAGGATGACGGCCATGTACATCTTTAGCTTCGTGCTCAGTTGAAGACCGTGACGGTTCCAAACTGTGCCATGGAGGCGACCGAAGGCTTGACTGGCTTTCGAGATCCTGTTGGCGACTTCGTCATCGATCTTTGTGTTGCGGGAGAGAGTACTGTCCAGGTACGGGAAATTCTCCACCAATTGCAGTTGGGTTCCGTTCACGCTGATTTGCGGCGGCGCGTTGGGGGCTGTGGCTGAGTTGGGTGGCGGTTGATGCATCACCGCTGTCTTCAGCGTGTTGATGACCAGACTGAAGTTCTCGCAGGCGGCGGAGAACAGGTCCATGCTGCGTTGCATTTTCTCTTCCGAGGTGGTGTTCAGGGCGCAGTCGTCGGCGAAGTGAAGTTCGTGGGCGGTGGTTGTGGATACGCGCGATTGGAAGTGCATCCGCCCTTGATTCAGCAGGTGACAGTCAGTCCTGTAGACGATGCGGATTCCGGGACGTTCGTCGCGGTAGTCGTCCATTAGCACGGCAGAGAACATAAGACTGAAGAGGGTTGGCGCCAGCACGCATCCCTGCTTCACTCCGTTGGTCACTGCGAATGCCTCTGAGACAGCTCCGTTGTCCGTGCCTCGCGCCATCATACCGTCGTGCAGCTGACGAACCATCTGAGTGAATCGATCCGGACATCTGAATTTTTGCATGATCTTCCACAGTCCTTCACGATTCACTGTGTCGAAGGCTTTCGTCATGTCCACGAAGGTAGATTACAGGTGGGTCCGCATCTCCTGGCACTTCTCCTGAAGTTGACGGGCGGCGAAGATCATTCAGTTTATTTGATAAGAATTATAGGCAAAGCCTTTGAAAACCCTATTGCTTATATGTCAGCTGGTTAGAAATAACTGTACACGAACAATGAAAATATGCACTATTAAAACAGTACTTGATTCTTTTGAGTAGCGTTGTCATAGAGAAACAAATGTGGGGAACCGGGGTATTTAGCTCAGATTCAGACTTTCGAGGGAAAATAGGGGACACAAATAATCATCCAAGCGTTTCTTGAAGAGTTGCAGGGATGTCGCCTCCACAACTGACTGAGGGTGATCGTTCCATTTCTCCATTACCCTTTGCGTGAAAAATTCAGAACGAAGGTTCAGTCTGGACATTGTTGCCCGTAGCTTCATCGAGTGGCCACGAAGAATAGGTGAAAGGTGCCACTGAAACATGTACTCAAAGCTAAGTCCATGCTCAAGGCCATTTATTATCTTGTAAACCAGGATTAGATCACCTCTTTGCTGCCTGTAACACAGAGGGAATAGATTAAGGCAATTCAGTCTGTCCGTGTAGGATTGGTTTTTTAGACCGTTTACCATCATTGTTGCCCTACGTTGCACCCGTTCGAGACATGCTTGGTCCTTTACAAGCCATGGCCGCCATGCTTGTATGCCATATTCTAAGTGGGACCGAACGAAGGTGCCGTCAACTCTCCCAAAAAGGTCTTGCTCAAAGGTAACAAACGCCCTTTTGATTGCATGCAGCACTCCCATGGCGTTTTTTTGCAGCACTGCAGTGTAGGTTTCAGATTGTTCAGTATCCAAACGCCGAGATCCTTCCGTGAAGATTCTGTGGGGAGTCTTATATCTTTCAGATGTTATGTCCTCAGGCTCTGATTTGAATGAGAGTTAGTTGGACGCAGATGGAGGACGGCACACTTCTGCACATTGAAGTCTAGAAGCCAATTCTCCGACCACACTTGCAGTCGATGAAGATTGTTTTGGTGGGATCTCTGGTCGTTAGAACTCTTAATGACTTGCCAGAGCTTAACGTCGTCACCAAACATTATTTTGCCACAGTCGAGTTCCCGAAGGCTGTCATTAACATAAAGGAGGAATAGCAATGGTTCCAGAACTGAGCTTTGAGGCACACCACTGGTCACGCTCACCCATTCTGACATATCATCACCGATGCAAACACGTTGTTTCCGACCAACCAGAAACGCCCCTATCCAGTTCAGAAGATCTCCCCGGATGCCGATGGCGCTCAATTTGTGAAGAAGGCGTTGGTGCGCAACAGTATCGAAGGCTTTGCGAAAATCGATGTACACGACATCAACTTCAAAACCCTCTTCTAGGGCCCTGGTCCAGATCTCCAGACAAGTTAGCAGATTTGATAGGCAGGAACGTCCTCTCCGGAAGCCATGCTGAAAATCCTGCAAGAGGTTATTTTTTTCACAAAATTGCTGTATGGCACTCTTTACAAGAGCTTCCATCGTTTTGCACGAGAGGCAGGTTAAGCTAATAGGCCCGAAACAGCGTTCTGCCACCCTGCTACCGCCTTTATGTAAGGGAACGAGGTTAGCTGTCTTTCGCTGTGATGGCGGCCTTCCTGTTTTCATTGACAGCTCAAAGAGCGTCGAAAGAGGCTTCGCCAGCTCCTTTGATAGCTCCTTAAGTATCAGACCAGGAATACCGTCGGGTCCAGGAGACTTATGTGGTTTTATTTGACTGAGGACGCGTCTTACTTCTTCGACGGAAAAGGCAACGGTTTCAATGACGGCAGTATCTTGGCGTATTTGAAGCTTCCGGCTGTTTCGGTCCATTTCAAACTGTTGATCGTCTTCTGAGGACTCCTCCGTAAAAACCGATTGAAAAAACTCAGACAGTAACTGCACTTTCTGTGGCCCTTCGACTAACAAGTTTCCGAGGCTATCCCTAAGACACACAATTTCGTCCCTATGTTTTCTCCTACTACGGATGTACTTGTAAAACTTCTTGGGACATGTAATGGATTCTGCTACCAGTCGGCGCTCGAAAGAAGTTCTAGCAATCCGTATTTGTTTGCGGCATTTATTGCGCTGATCCTTATATTCGGCGAATGATACTGGATCTCGAAGTCGCAAATAATTTTTCCACAGCCTCTGTTTCTTCTACATGGCCTTTTTTGTCGTCGGATTGACCAACGGCGGTATCCCACATGGTCTTGTTATTTTTATTGGGCAATATGAGTCAATTAGACGCTCTATAATCCCGCGAAAGTACTGCCAGAATTCTTCTGAATCTTCGTTTTTGACTAACCAGGTTTCTTCCAAAAGAGCACGTCTCATTGCGTTAAAATCACTCTTCCAAATATTTCTGCGACTCTTGATTTTTGGTTGTTGGTTCGATAGGAGAGAGCACACGCAAGTAAAAGCAATATGATCGCCTAAACCGAGGGGAGGCCGAGGATTCACTTCTCTTATGACTCCTTCTTTACTAAAAACGAGATCTAAACAGTTAGATCGTTGTCCGTCTCTTAGTCTTGTTCCGAATTTTATGTGATGAATGAGGCATTCATTCAGGGAGAGTTGTAGTAGCTTGTGGTCAAATGACGTGGACGGGGCATTTGCTAAGGGAACTTTCCAGTCTATTCCGGGAGCGCTAAACTCACCCAGAAGCAGTAAGTTCTCCTGCTTACATAGCAACTCCAGTACACTAAGTAATTCCACATTGGCGATTTTATTCGAGCTGGGAGGCCGATAGACAACACACAGGTTAAGTGTCGGTAATTGTTTGATGCATATCTTGCATGAAATTATTTCAAAAGTTCGCGGCGCGTCATTGATTATTTTTCGCTGACAGCAAGGAATTTCATTTGACACATAAATCGCTGTGCCTCCTTCTCTTCGTTGAAATCTGTCACAACGGAACAGATGATAGCCTTCAAGACTGACTTCGCTACTACTTATCTCCTCAGACAACCATGTGAGTCTTCTGTTCAGAGACTCGTAATCGGAGTTCATCTAGTTTTTTGAGGAGGCTCTGACAGTTAGTGTAATAGATTTCTAGACAACGACCACTGGTGCCCACAGCCTCAGGAGTTGGCACTTTTGCGTTGGTTAGGCTGTCAGAATGACGGTCTTCGGCCAAAAAATGTCCTTTTGACCTGAATTATTTGCCTGTTCTTGATCTCCAATAGCTTCAGAAAGCCATGTTTCTGTGAAGGCGATGATATCTGGCTTGTGCTCGTCGATCAGAGTCCTGGGTTCATCCATCTTGTTTTACAGGCTCTGCGCATTCAAGTACAGCACCTTTAGTGTCCGTCTTCTCGGAGGGTGCCGGCACTGATTACAAATGGGGTTAGCCACAGTAACGATCGCTTGATCTGTATTATCTTGCCTTCCTTTATTTTCAACCACTTCTCCCCCTCTTCTGTCCTTCTTTTCAGTTCTGTCCAGAGTTCCCTCATCTTGTGTCTTTCTGTCGGTTCGTAATCCGGCTGAAAAAAACACCTCCTTATGCGAATGACGAAGAGCCATCCTCCCTTCTAGGAGATGTGAAGCCTGGGCTTCATTTGCAAGAATGATTTTAAGAGGCCTTGCTAGTCTACGCGACGCATCTGCGTTTCCTAGACGGAAAGCTTTGTGCACGGTAACACATTCTCCGTCCTGAAGGACAGCATTTGAATATGTCTGGAAGAGGTTGAGATCGTGTTCGATTCTTTCTTTTGCAGTCGAAGAATTGGACTCAGGAGCTCCCTTTATGACGATATTACGTTTTCGGTAGAGATGCCTATTTGGTAGAGAGCCCCAGTGTTTATTTTTACACGCGCGGTCAGAATTTCGCCAATTTCCGTCGTAATCATCGTTTGATTTAGAGACGGCTGTCATGGTATATATACCACAGGGTTCCTCACCCACCGAGTCTTCTTGGTCGTGCGATACATCCTTCGGCAGTGTGGTATTTGCTGGCATTGCGTGTAGACTCCGCTCATTCATACGGACAATCGGATCTGCTTTTTATTCGGGACGCCCTGGTGCGCTTCTGCGTTTTCTGAGATACCTCTCTGTCGTTCTTTTCTTATAGAAGAGGTCGGTTCTCAGTTGTGATTTCTTCCTTAGACGGGCTGTCTTCTTCCTTGGCGGCTGATCCAGTTAATGAGACTGTGCTTGAATATTTTCCGTCGCCGGCTTTCTCTTTACGGTTGAATGGCGAGGAAGTTTAGACAACTTCTCCATTTCTATTTTTAGGTCTTTTATCTCATTTTCCATCTCTAAGACTTTCTGGAGAAGGCTGAAACACGCCGCATGTGTTTTATCTTCGTTGTTGTAGTTGACATCCATTAAGGTTACTAAACTTCTGACCCGTTTGGCAGGAGATTTGAGAGCGGGGAAGCCGACGTTACATTCATTTATACACTGTGCATTGTTTATTACATTATTATTTTTAGTCCGTCTGCTGCGCGTCAGTGGCCGATTGGTAACAACGCTGGCCTCGTCACCTTCTGGACTGGGTTCGAATGCTGCTTGGGGCGCAATTTTTGAGCAACATCCCGAAGGCACTTGTTCGATTACCATGTCAAGTATATAAACTGGACAAATTTTTAAGCTGTCTAACCAGACCAACGATATGAAGCAAGTAGCGAACAATATGAAGCAAGCAGCAAACGACTTAGCCGTTCTGAGAAGGGGGGGTCCCGCGGTGCCGTTGGCAGAGAAGTGTCACGAAAGAAAATGACAGTCCCAGAGAAAGTCCTGTCGAAGTTACGTGCGGATGGAGTAATTGTTGGTTACTATCCAATTTCGTAATCCAAATGGGTTTTCAGAGCGTTCAGTTGGCACAAATCTCGGAATAGGCAAATTCGTCGGAGGTCGAAAATTTCAAACCGAATTCGAAAGGCGCGCGTTCATATCCATGGTCCCACGATGGCGACGGAAACCGCATTGGCTTTCCGGCAGAAGGCCCTGTTCGAGATGATTATCGAGACGATTGGGGAGGATGCGAGCGAAGATCTTCCCGGCGATGTTCAGCAAGGAGATGCCGCGGTGATTGTCGCTTGTAGAGATGCACGATGGTTGCGTCTTTGAAATCTTGCCAGATCTCCTGAAAGAGCGCAGTCAGGTGATCCATCAGTTGGAGATTTCCGTGCTTGTAGACCTCAGCAGGGATCACGTCCGATCCGGGTGCTTTCCCGCTGGAGAGCTGTTGCGCGGCCTTGATGGTCTACTGGAGAGATGGCGGGAGGTCGAGAACCACGTTGGTCTCCACTTGCGGCAAACGCTCGATGGCGGCGTCGGAGATGACGGAGGGGCGGTTGAGGACGCCTCGGAAATGCTCGGCCCATCGCTGCAGCATTTGCGTCTTCACAGTCAGGAGAGTGCTTCCGTCGGCGCTGAGGAGAGGAGCAGTGCCCTTCGTCGGCGCACCGTAGACAGCTTTGATTGCGGAGAAGAAGTTCTTCCATTCGTTGCGGTCCACGTAACTTTGGATTTCTTAGCTTTGCGAGCAGTCCAGGCGTCCTGCATCTCGCGCAGTCGTTGCTGAAGCTGGCGGTGACTGAGGCAGAAGGCAGCTTTGTTGTCCTCAGTGGGGTGATCTACGTAGACTTTGTGTAGGCGATTCTTCTCGGCGAGCAGGTTTCTGATGGCGGCGTCGTTGTCGTCGAATCAGTCCTGGTGTTGGCGGGGAGCGCGACCAAGGACGGCGAGCGCCGTCGACTGGACCGTGTCTCGGCGTTGAAACCAGCGGTTCTCAACGGAGGCGTTCTCTGCAGTGGCAGCGGCGTCGTCGGCGGCAGCGATAGGAAGGTTGTCTAGCCGTTGAGCTAGCTCATTGCTGAAATGAAGATGGTGGGCGGGCAAAGACAATAAAGCAACATTCAGAATACCCGGGGTTCACTTACCTTGTGGTCTCCTGCGAGGCTGTAGGCGAATACGCATCTTCAAGATGACCAGGCGATGGTCGGTCCAACCGTCAACACCCGCGATCGCCTTCGTTACGAGCACGTCCCGCTGACCTCGCCTGCGGACGAGGACATAGTCCAGCAGGTGCCACTGGCGCGACCGAGGATGCCTCCAGGTGGCCTTCTCTCGCTCCGGCAGACAGAAGAATGTGTTCGTCAGGATGAGGCGGTGTTCTGCGCAGGTGCGGAGGAGCAGCAGGCCGTTGTCGTTGGAGCCGCGGAGACCGTGAGGACCCAGCACTCCCCTCCAGGCGGTACGGTCTGTGCCGACGCGGGCGTTGAAGTCGCCAAGGACAATCAACTTGTCCGCCTTCGACACAGTCGCCAAGAGGGCATGCAGGTCCTCGTAGAATTTGTCTTTGACGGCGTCGGGGCTGGTCATCGGCGGAGCGTAGGCGCTGATGATGGTGGCGAATTTGCCCCCTACCCCGCAGAGGCAGACGGAGTCTCATCAGGCGATCGTTGATGCCCTGCGGCAAACAGGGCAGTGGTCCCACGATGTCGTTCCGGATGGCGAAGGCGACACCTGCGTCTCGTCGCTCTGCCTTGGGTCGACCACTCCAGAAGAAGGTGTAACCGGCACCCACCTCCTCCAGTTGGCCTTGTTCGGAGAATCGGGTCTCGCTGAGTGCGGCGACGTCCACCTTGTAGCGCGCCAGTTCTCGTGCCACTACCGCCGTCCTCCGTTCCTGTTGGTTGCTCCTCGGATTGTCTAAAAGGGAACGAACATTCCAGGCTGCCAAATTGAGCGGTTTCACTCTGTCAGTCGTGCGGACGCGGCCACCGGGCCGGCGGGCATTAGGTGGAGAGGAAGATGACGAAGGATTTGAATATGTAGAGGATGAGGAAGAGGATGCAGGATGATTCGGAGAAAGCGTATTGTTGTTATTGTTAATGGTGTTTGGATTTTGATTGTTTCGACCGTGCGTTTGACTTCTGCGAACTTGGCGAACCTGCAGACGCCGTGGTGCACAGCATTGTTTAGGCCAGCTTTTCTAGGCGATTTAATGAGGACATCGCAAATCATTAATATAACTGTATACTAAATAAGCAGTTACATTTTACACAGTGTAGTTTCTGCAGAAGTACGAAAAAATGTATGTTCGAAGGCCGCCTCCCGAAACAAATGAAGTATTATGATATTATGCTGTTGGTGACCAATAATACAATCTAACTTAAGTAATCTAATCGAGTCTAAATAGGCTTCAGAATATCAGTCAACATTCACGGTCAACAGTCAAGGTCTTTGAAAATCTGTTGTTAACGTAAGCATAGAAAAACAGCTTCGTCTTATTACTGTCTTTGTAAAAGTGGAAACAGGTAGACACGAATGGATTGATGCATCAATATATGTATATAGGCCACAAAGCATTTCCATTTGCAAAGTGAGTATGAGATGGTTTGTGGTCGAAGAGAGAACTGGTTAAAACCGGTTTGACGTGCAAACAATATCCAGAAGCTTATAGAATTGAGAAGCGAAAGTAAATATAGATGCCAGTCAGTTTATGGCAAAGTATAATTGCCTTCGACTATCTAGACAAACAATAAAGAATCTGCAAATTTTTCAGGGGCTCGCAGGGGTTGCATTCATTTCACAGGTAAGGATGAGGAATATATGTATATCCGGTTAGTGGGTCCTTATAGTCGTGTCAAAAAAGAGTGAAGATAAAAGAGAGGGAGGGGGCAGAAGTGAGCGTATAACGTAAAAATTGACAAATCAGCAGCCGCATCGGGCAGAAAGCGATGAAAATGTCAATGAAATCGAGTTATTATGCAGGAAACAAGAATGTCTAGTGAAAGAAGTAAATAGGCAGTAACGCTCAGAATATTGGAAGATAGTGAGTTATTAGGGTGCTACAAGGATCTGAAGTAGACAGAGATGGATTTGAGAGCCTGCATTTAACGACATACTAAGCAAGTGAGAAAGAAAGCATCTATAGAATTTTAGAGACTATTGTGAAATAAGAATTAAAATCTGTTAATGGACTAAATACCTAGCAGCTAAGCATCAGAAGCCTTTAAATGAAACGTTCGCGGGACGTAGAAGAAACTGCCAACAGTGTGTTTCCATGAAGAAATAGACACGATCGCTGGGAAAAGAGATTTATTAGCCTGACGTTTAGGGTTCCTGCTGGAACCCATCATCAGAGACAACAGCAGATAGGTGTGTCTCCAAGTCAGCTGAAAAATAAAAACATCTGAACATCGGCCTTAGCATGCGAGGTAAGCAATAAAGATACCGTTGACGAAGAGGCACACCGTCCAGAAATTAAGGATTTCGACACCGCACGCAAGCAAATCTAAGTACATGTTAAACGCAGTAATAACATTTTATTGTACAACAGGTTGCAGCATGATAAAATTAGCAGCATGTGATCACAGATCTAAGAGATGCATCTTGGTGTGAAGTCCCCTGCAAAAAAGAACGTAGGCAGCTGTTTGGCTAGGCATGATGTTTTCGCAGCAAGTCACAGGTTGTCTAGAGTAGGCTGCAGGATGTGGAGAGCACGACGGCTGCTTTGGATTCAGTGCAATGGGGACAAAACATATCGATTCCTCCACAGAAAACTGCGTTCTCGATGACTATTGAATTAAAAATGCTGAATCACCCGTATCACCCCATGAAACTCCTACGATTTATCGTGCGACTGCGTTGACGTCTATTCCTAGTCCAACCTAGGCGCATAAGTGGTCTCATTCGGCACGATATTCTCGCGTGAGTGAACGCAAATGTTTTGATCTTGTTGCACTGGTTGCAAAACAGGCAGCGTTTTTCCCTAATCCGGCAGCCTTAACAGAAGGAAATTTGACTTGTCAAGAAAGCATCGTCTCTCGCCTAAGGCCACCTACATGCCTTTCGTCGGAAGACTTCAAAACATGATGCATCTCTCAGATCCGTGATCACATGCTGCTGAACTGAGCACGATAAAGTTTATCGTACAATAATACGATGTTATTGCGGAAAACTGCTATTAATATAGACCGATTTATTTATTCGAAAATGGTGGAAAAAGGACGCAGACTCTCCTGCACTTTGTTATCTTCACTCCTACCTAGTACGCCGACCTTGGATTTTCATGAGATATTACCAATTCGTTCCAGATTGAATTTTTCGAATTTATGAAGCAAGAAGCTGCACACGCTCTTCTGGATAGAAGAGTTCACATCGAAATGCATTTATGAGACGGGTAATCCTACAAAATCATAATAAGTTTTAATCAGTACACTACAGGCCGCATAAAAAGCAAGTAAAAATAAGTTATAGAATTAATTTAGTACAAGTATACTTGCTTCGTAAGTGTTCTGTTTTTGCTTTCGGAATAAGCCGTCTGATTCGAAAAACGGTTATCGGCAGTACGAAAAACACCTTTGAAAACGTGAAATGAATGCCATTTAACTAGATTCTGATGCGCATGAAACTGTCGTTCAAGAATGTGTAAGTGTGTGGGTCGGACAGTGCCGGACTGAACATCGTAATATATAAAGTATTCGAGATGGGCATCGTCAAGGCAGAATTCGTAAACCAGATGCGGTTATCCGCGCCCATG